TACTTCCCTCAGAAAAAAATACTTTCATATTTTTTGTTATGGTTAATCAAGACTTTATAGTATTGTCATGCGATTAAAAATAATTATACTTTTACACTGGCTTTCGCCCATAAATTTTACTGTTTTTAGACTTCTATAAATAAAATTTTATTTCCCAACTAAAAAAACAATTTGTTTAAAAACTTTGAAAAAATCATTCACAGACAATACTGCTATTACATATCTACAAACAAGTTCGAACATAGTTTTTAGGACAGCCAATTTTTAATTAGTCTTGTTCTGTTTAATTAGAATTTTCATCTGGTACAATTTAACTTATTCCATAACTATAATATTTCATTCACCTTACACACTGGAATGATTGTGTATTTGTGAGTTACACATACACAAATAATCACAGATAGGCCTTTTTAATTTTAAGCAAGATATTTATATTTCACAGCAGAAATGGTCACTTCCAATTCTGATACTCTTGTTAGGCCATGAGGTTTTAAATTACGTGACAAGTTTAGGTATAAAAGACATGCTTTTCTCCTTGACATGATTAAATCCAAGAAATGCTTGGCATAATTTCCGTTTTCTTGCTTAATTTCTATCTTCTTCATAAAGCTCGCACCAGTCCATTCTATTTTTCTCTCCATTCTTATAACCAGAGGTTAAGGACAGAGACTTATTCTCCAGTTCTGCATAATAATGCCGGATATGTGGCTTACTGAAATCCCTTTAGTTGAAATAATTTCTCCTTCCCTACTAATACTAATTTTGGGATTCAATCAACAAATATTTATTGCATGCCTACCATGTGCCAGAAAAAGGTGCAAAAATAAAACTAAGTTCCTCCTCTCATATAGGTTATATTCTAATAGGAGACACATAATAAATAACTGAAATATAAACTTATAATTCCAGATAGTGATAAATGTTATTAAAAAAAACAAAACAAAGCGAGCTTCTATCTATGAGACCCATCTCAAAATAAAGAGCTTACATAGACAAAAAACCAAAAACCCCCCCCAAAAAACAAAAACAAAGCGAGAAACCAAGATGGAGGTATATGTAAACACCGGAAATTGCTGCCTTGCACAACCACTTCAAAAATACAACTAAAAGACAAAATGGACATTATCCAGAACCACAGGAAAGCTGGCTGAGTGGAATTTCTACAACTAGAAGGAAAGAGAAAAGCACACTGAGACTCAGAAGAGGTGTGGAAGTGCAGAGGTACAGAGGCACACGTGGAAAGCGCTGGAAACTGAGGACACGGTTGTCTTTTTTTTAAAAAAATATATTTATTGATTTCGGAGAGGAAGGGAGAGGCAGAGAGAGATAGAAACACCAATGATGAGAATCATTGATCGGCTGCCTCCTGCACCGCCCCCACTGGAGATCAAGCCTGCAACCCAGGCATGGGCCTTTACCAGGAATCAAACTAGCGGCCTCTCAAGCCCGGGATGACACCCAACCAACTGAGCCACTTTAGCCAGGATAAGGAGGATGTTTTTGTTTTTTTTGTTTTTTTAAATATATTTTATTGCCTGGCATCGGTCGGAACTCAAGGGCGGCTTTCTCTCAGAGGTGCTTGCAGAGATTACCGGGGCCACTTAGGGTAGGACTGAGGATCAGCCATAGCTGTTTGCTCTGCCCTGTTGATTCCCTGTGACCCCGCCCCACCCAAGCTGTGCACAAATGCTTTTGCATATGAAAGGCCTGGCCCTTTGCAATCTAAAATTACCTAACAAACTGCAACTGGGTCAGAGAGAACCAGAACTTCCAAAAGAAGGCCCAAGGCCCCACAGCAGCTTGCGCTGCTTCACAGCTGGGCCTCATTTTGGCACTTCCAAACCCCAAACAAGGAAGGGGAATCTGCAGATCTCTCCATAGCTCCTGCTGGGTAGCCTCAGGCAGAGGCTAAATTAGCACCTCCTTAGCGATCCAAGAGCCAGTGTACCCAGTGGTCAGAATGGGACCATCCAGATTACAACTCCTCAGATCCAAAAGGGACACACTCAGGGGGCAGACTCAGTGAGCACCAAAGCCCCACTGAAGCAAGTCTTGTTCCGGAGGGGTGTCTCCAGCACAGAAGTTCTCCCACTGCAGACACAGCTGATTCTCACAACCAACTGGCCTGGAGGTCAATTCCTCCCAGTGATACCTACAACAATCAAGGCTTAACTACAACAAGACTACAACAAGACTGTGCACAAAGCCCACAAAGGGGTGCACCAAGAGTGTCCACGTCAGGTAATTGGGGAGGCTGAGCCACTGGGCCCTATAGGACACCTAGCACAGGAAGCCACTCTATCAACACAGGGAAGCATTAAAAATGCGGAGACAAAGAAACAGGTCACAAATGACAGAAATGGAGGAAAGCAAACTACTGGATATAGAGTTCAAAACCACACTTTTAAGGTTTTTCGAAAATTTTCTAGAAACCGCCAATAAATTTAGTGAGACCCTCGAGAATATGAAAAAGGCCCACCTAGAAATTAAGCATACACTGACTGAAATAAAGAATATCATACAGATTCCAACAGCAGACTAGAGGATCGCAAGAATCAAGTCAAAGATTTGAAATATGAAGAAGCAAAAAAACACCCAAGGGAAACACAAAAAGAAAAAAGAATCCAAAAATACAAAGATAGTGTAAGGAGCCTCTGGGGCAACTTCAAGTGTACCAACATCCGAATTATGGGGGTGCCAGAAGAAGAGAGAGAGCAAGATATTGAAAACCTATTTGAAGAAATAATGACAGAAAACTTCCCCTACCTGTGAAAGAAATAGACTTACAAGTCCAGGAAGTTCAGAGAACCCCAAACAAAAGGAATCCAAAGAGGACCACACCAAGACACATCATAATTAAAATGCCAAGAGCAAAAGACAAAGAGAGAATCTTAAAAGCAGCAAGAGAAAGACAGTCAGTTACTTACCAGGGAATACTCATACGACTGTTAGCTGATTTCTCAACAGAAACTTTGCAGACCAGAAGGGAGTGGCAAGACATATTCAAAGTGATGAATGCCAAGAACCTACAACCAAGATTACTTTATC